ATAAATGAGACAAGTAAAAAATCAAAAAGAAAAAGAAAGAACAGTGTGCACAAGTGTAGACAACGATGATAAATATTGAGCAAAAAGAAAAAAAAAGAAAGAAAGAATAGCGGAATACGCTTGCCGCAGAGTGAAGCGTCGGTGACTGAGAATAAGTCTTTTTTTTTCTTTCTCACTTAATTTCTTTTTCTATAGAGACGCATATTGGTTCTTTTTATTTCAAAGTTTTTTCCACTTATGTGAAAAAGACTTTCCTTTCTATCGTTTCGTTTACTGTTTGTTTATGCATATACATCCATATATGTCATCTCGTTAAATTTTAATACTATTGATCCTAAAATGACATTGATTATGTATATTTAAACAAGGAAATATCATCAGCAAACGAAGAATATTTCAGGAAAAGGAAATAAATTAAAGATGTCTGTTTGATTAAAAAAATAAATTTCCTCTTTACCATATAAGATAATTTACTTGTTTAGACCATAATTGAGTTAAATTAATCATTTATTATGATGTCATCGAATTGAAGCATGAGATTTTTTCTTTTATAAATTTCATCTTAAAGAAAGATAAAAAAAAACAGAAGAAAGAAATAATAGAAAATAAATCATGATTGTTACATCAATAGAATCAATTAATTCTTATCGGAATAAAAAAGAAAACTCATGAGTCAGAATATTGATAAAAAAATACATCTAAATAAGCACACAGAAAAGAAAAGAAAATGTTTCTCACAGATTATTCATACTTTAGATTTCATAATTTAGACGTATTCTGTAGAAAATTATAGTAATACAGATGTTTACAAACAAATCTTGCACATTTGGTTCTCAGAATATTTGTCTTGATATATACCTACCTGAATTATTTCATAAAATATTTTATTGGTCGAGAGAGAAAGTACTACATGGCACCATAATGCGAAATTTCATTAATTTACTTTTAAAAGAAAAAAAAACATTTGTTTTCTATGCACATCGTTGGAATGGTTTACAGCATCAGCTCTTTTTCATATTTTAACACTTTTTTCCATGAAAAATGTCCAAGTTCACCGAAATTTATTTACTTATCTTTTCTTCACAGTGTATTTCAAGGCCATCTATATGTCCACTTAGATGATTCGAACTAAATGAAAACTATCGATAAACCGTTTGATACAATGTGCGCTATATCAGCAATTAATCATCAATAGTTTGATATTTAAACAGTTGACAATCCTGAAGCCATTACCTATGTTGTATATTTGTTCGCACTATCACTGATATGTCCCACGTTTTACCGAATGGTCTACTAACAGTTTGAATTACATGAGCATTCTAATATGGTATGCCAATAACTGTTTTCTGACCGACAATCTACTGTCCATCAGCTCTTATGAATACCACGGTATATCGATGGTAATGCAAAGGGACATGTGACATATGTTCTTCTGTATTCACTCATTATTTTGATATTGCTTGGTCTACTGTATACGGACCTGTTTTTGTAGCAAAGAAGCTGTGTAAGCTCATGCCAATGAAGAGAGCGATTACTTGATAATATGGATTTAACCAAGCATATATTGTATTAATTTTTTTAAGCATTATTTCATCATTAAGTTGAATTTATCAGCCAATAGAGTCTTTGGTCGTTACTTGCAGCGACCGTTCTCGAACGTTTTCACTCTTATGTTAGAATGAATTTGTTGATATTCTAATGAACATTCCTTAGTGGCACGTTTATTTCACGATGAGTAATAGAAGCAGATTGCACATTTTTTATTCCAATAATGCAATATTGAGGCATGATAGTTTTCTAAATAAGAAAATGACGCCATAATTCAAATATATATATATATATCTGAAAGAAAGAAAAAATAGCATGCAGTCCTTTGTAGTCATTACTTAGTATAACCATTGAAGGTTTATCTCTAAAATACTGAAGCTTATATTTGCTAAAAACTTTTAATTGTGTGCAAGATTTTTTTTCTGCATACATCTATTGGTTAATCATAATCACGTGTTCAAACATTTTGTTATATTTCGATAGATTGAAATACAATTTAATTATTTATACTAATCCGTTACATCACTTACTATTTCTACGATGATTTCTGTCTTAAAAATCATAAATGTATCAAAACTTTCATCAAGAAAATAGAAAAAGCGAAAGAATATTTTTCATCTTTATATTATCAAGGTGCAAAGTTCAAGAATACGTCTCATTGAAGTGTTTATAGATATTTTTTAAAGATATGTCTGATAGTAATAATTAGCATCTCTTTTATTTATTATTAATAATTCGAAAAACGAAATATTCGTTCAATTATTCAGTTGAATCATAAATGGATAAAGAGATTTTCTTTTATTTATTTATAATAAGAATAATAATAATAATAGATAAGCAATATAAATATATGTATTTTTGTTTGCGAGCTACTTGTAAGACAAAATTGCTGGAGAATGGATTCTAAAAAATAATTTTAAAATAATTAGTTCAAATTTTTGTTGTTTAATTTCTAGAGGTGAAGGGATTTGTTCTTTTTTTTTTTTGTTCGCTTTGTTCAATTAGAAACATTGAATTCTTTAAGAAGATTTTGAACATGTGGATCCATCTTTGATGCACTTGTAAATATGCAACCAACAAATACATGAGTACCTACAATAAATTTTCTAATAAATATTTTTCAAAAAAATTTTATTTTTCTTTTACCATGTTGTAAATGCTGAATAACTCGACAACATCCTAAATCAACAATATTAATACCAAAATTTCGAAAACGTTCATCCGTTTCAAATAATGTATCTGACGTAGATGGTCCATAATAAGGTTTACCATTTGATGGATCAATAAAATCTACCCAATATTGCTTTGAATTTAAATAAGTTGATATTTCTTGAGCTAATATGTTAAATTTTTCAGTTAATTGATTACGTTCATTTTCAACTTCCATTGACCATGTTGACATATCCGTATTTGTTTTAAATATTACTGTTATAGCTGTTAATGGTTGCGTTAATATATCATAATTTAAAAATAAATTATTTAATTTTGAGCATAATGATGATGAACAATCATATGTACGAATTTCTAAATTTTTATAATTCATTAATTTTGTTAAAAATTCCTTTTCATTATTTGTTGATGTTGATAATAATGACATATTCGTATTTAGTAATTGTTTAACTGAATCTTTTTCTTGAAAAGATTTCGATATTGATTTTGTTTCATAAGAAAATCCAATATGTCCTGGTAATGGAAAACGTGTATTAAAGTCATATGGTGTATTAACATCGGATGATGGAATTGATGAACTTTGTTTTGTGGCATCTAATTGATTGACAATATTTATTAAAGCACGAGATTTTAAATCGACTAAATTTGTTTTATATGAAGATACTTGACGACTTGGAGAAATAAATAATAATGCTCGTGAGCGAACATGTGTTAATAAGCGATCCATTGCTATCTAAAATGTACTAAGTTAAAAGGCTCGTTTTTATTATTTTCTTGATACGAAAAAAAAACCAATGAGTCATAATATGTTATTTTTTTTCTTGGCTACCATTATTTTTTGTTATTTTCCTCCTTCGTCGGGTACTATCGCATTACTATGATGTAGAAAACAAGGCGCCCGTCATCAAGACTAGTTACCATCGTTGTCTAGAAAGGAAAAAAATCGATTAAAAACAGTTGTTCTATCATGGTCTTGTTTGATTTGTTAAACAAATTTTTATAAAAGAATGCATGAAAATGTCAGAAGAAATATATATATCTAATTCAAATAAATACATGGAAGGATAGCTTGAGGTTGAACCTTTTACAAACCATATATGGTTTTTTATTTGACATGTCATGTTTTTTGGAAAAATTTTCTATGAGTTCCGTCAACTTCTGCTTGAAAAACATTCTTTTTCTCTGCTCAAATTTTTTTGATTGGATAACTTAGAATTCTCGAAAAACCTGCATTAGAGTCGATCGCTTTGGTTGAAAGAGCATGTAAAGCTGTAGTGCATTTCGTTTGAATAAAACTTTTTTATTATTATATAAAAGAGGACATTTCTATAAATCGATTAAACTTTTATTTTATTTTTGAGAACTTTTCAAGGTATCGAATATGTCATTCTTTTTCTCTGCTTAAAAGCTAAGGATAAAAACAACAATGACTCTATCAGGCATTGCACTTTGACATGCTCTTTCAAATAAAAAATAATTAATCATAGAAAATGAGGACACCTAGAAAATTTCAAGTTGTCTAATGAGCCATTTTTGACTTTTTGTTTGTTGAATATCTTCCAAGAACGTCATGGTATAAGGATGAAAATCTCAGCATTCCTTTTCTATTGCAGCTCCTAAGGATCCTGAAAGTTTTATACGATTTGAATATACTCGAATCAAGATCGATTTTTGAGATTTAGAGTTCGTTGGGTCATACTTTGATACTCTCAATGAATATTTCTAATCGGAAGTGGATAGTCGCCCAGAGGATATGAGATACTTTTTTCCAATTTTTTATATTTGGTTAACTAGTACATGTTATAAATTTCTCAGATGGCTAGAGCCTGTCAAGACTAGACTTTTCAGATTCGAACTCGACGAGTGCTAGAAGGAGTTTTTAAATATAATAAACATTTAATAAGAACTATTCCGAATACAGTAACATAAAGTGCTTATGTAGGTGTATTATCTAATAGTAAACAATTAATCGGTTTCAAATGTTTATTATGCCAAAATTTTTTCATTAAAAAAAACACGTAAAACCTTCAACAAAATATAAAATCCCTACGAGTCTTTTTTTTTCGTTATTGATTGAGCATAAAATCTCATACTGAAAACAATTGTCATGAAAAAGATGAAAGTATTGTATGCTTGATAAAGTATATTAAACAAGAAGAACACTAAAGTTATCACAGGAAAATTAATGAATAAAACAATTGATTTAATTAAATGAGATTAGTATTTAAAAAAAATCAGAATGTAAATATTTAGTTAAGTAATTTCATAATAAAATAACAATGTTAATATAATCTTGAGCTATGATATCGATGTTGTTTCATATAATAAAAAGCACCAATACCACTTAAACAAAGAATTATCAAAAGTAAAACAAGAAGAAATATTTTTAATGTCGACCATTTTGATGTTTTTGCAGTATCATCATCTATCTGTCCCATATGAGCTGAAGGAGCTGATGGTATTATATTTTTACGATCTTCTTTTTGTCTTTGTTCACTTAAATCTAATTGATATGTATGTACTGATATAATATCATGATTATCACTAAGTTCACCAGTTGCAGCTGAAAAACCAAAATAATAATATGTTGGTAATTGAATATTATCAATTGAAAAGCATTCTTTCCAAGTATTTTCTCCATCAATATCAGTAGATACAGTTAAACGATTGTTTTGATAACGTATAGCAACAAGAGTATCTATATCACGACCTCGAAATGCTGCTTCACAACCAGCTATATTTAAATCTGCACCATCACGATCATGATCATAATGAAGTGAACCATTATTTATTACAGCGGATATATATGGATAAATATGCTAAACAAATTTTTATAATAAATAAAATAAAAGAAAAACATTAATATAAATAAAAGAAAAAATTTACATTATAATTATCGATTCTATTGGAATATGTATCCATGATAATAGCTAATCCATTAAAATGATCTGCATAACCAAAAACAGGACCTAGAATAAAAATATTAGGAACTTAGTTAATTTAAATTAATGATATAGTATATGACATAAATTATTTAGTAGGGTTACTATTTCTTTTTTTCTGTCCAAAAGATTTATCTATAATATTCTTAATGATAGTTAATTTACAACAATATGCTGAAATATTCAGTGAGAAACTCTGTATGTAGATTTACAATATATTCATATTTTTTACAGCATTCGAGTTCTGTAGCGCTTAGTATAGAAAGGACATTAATGAATTTCATTAACTCAAGATTTCAATATGAAGAACGACAACGTTCAAACTATTCAACAGAAACATCTTCGATAGAATTTCTCATACATAGAATACATATTCGTTCATCAAAAATTGTAGAGAATACTAAATTAATGATGTTTGAGTTCTATTACTTTTAAGATAAATTTTATACGTACCAGTTAATTTTGGATCTCTAACGTACCAAATAACAAATCCATCACCAAACAAAGACGTACCACCTCCATGAACTTTAAAGTTAACGTGCATTTCCCAATCAGAATAACTAACAGGTACCGTATTCCATAAACCACCAGCTTTACTTTGTGCATCAGATGTTAAACGAATATATCGATCTGTAACTAATGTATTACCAGTTAACTGCCAATATGAATGAGAAGTAGCAAAAACTTAAAACAAAGAAAACAGTCACTAATCAAATTTAAATATAAATTATTAAATATACCATTAGCATATGGACGGCTAAGACTATGTTCGCGAACTTCAAATGAACCTGGACCTTGTTCGAATGTAAGATTAATAAAAATAATACAAACAAATGAGATAATAGTGATGAAGTACATCTAAAAATAAAACCTCTATTTTCTTACAAAGTTTCAAATAGAAATCTGAAACATTAAGTACTATAGCCAAGAACTCATCCATAAAAACTAAGATAAAGTTATAACTATTCGCATGTTATTATGCAAAAGAAAATTGCATATAGTTCATGATAAATATATACATATATCAATTTGATTAGATTTCAGCAATACTTTTCTGGATTAATTTTTACTATCGTAAAAAGGATAAAATGAAACTAATGATTATTAGTTTTGTTCATGCGTATTCATACATTCATCAAAAGGCTATAAAGTTAATTTCATTGAAATTTCTAATTTAATATATTCGAAAAGAATTAATAAAGCAAGTATGTCTAAGAAACAATATTACAAGACAACAACAAGAAAAATACAATAATAAATAAGCTAAGTCCTCTTTGTACTCGATCGATTACTGTCAACGCTCGTTGTTTTTTCGAGGTAAGTACAAAATAGAGTACTTTGCTTTTGCTCGAATGACCAGATATTGAAAAGAAAATTTATTACCCTAACCTACTTGAAATGATTTGATTGGATAGAAAATTTGATTATCTATACGTCCTTCGCTAGAAATGAATGTTTTCTTTTTGTGTAAACAAATACAATTTGGAAAAATAATGAAACGTACTTTTGTTTTGAAAATTAATTAAATAAACAAATAGACGATATCTATCGAACTTAATTTCAATTGGTCAATGTATTGCTTGTCAGTATTTTTAATGGCGCAGGTGTACAAAGTAGAGGTAAAATATACAGAACACCTGCTATTTTATATTGTGTTTAAAAAGCAGACTGCAAAAGCAATACATTTTGTTTAAAAGATGATTATATAAATGTTTAAATGAAAAAATAATCATTATAACTCATTTTATTATTTTCACATACTTCACTTTTTTTTTTTCCTTTCATTCTCCAATTTGTCTTTCACGACATGCGGGACAAAAATGTATTTCTCTCTTACTATCAATACGTACTCATGTCATGCAAATTGGACAAAAAAGCGTCGATATATCGATAGCTGTGATGTGACCCATAAGTGGCGGAACATTTAGAGTTTGGGGAGCTCCAGATTTGCATTTTGAAAAAATAAAAGAAGACGTGTTTTTGAATACCAGTGAGATGAAATATAGTTAGTGTCTTTAGTATCGAACACATATTGTGCAGTGTATAATAGTGATGGTGATCAAAAAAAAAGCTCACATTCATTTATAATGAAGAATCTAAATCTACTTGTTTGAGAATATGTTATTATTAGTAGCTGAAAGCGGCGAAAAGTGTGCCATGCTGCTCAAACCTATTGATCTGATGAGAGGAGAAAAGTGTTTGAAGCTACCCTAGCGTACTAAGCGTTAATCTAGAGTAGGCTTTTGTTTTTTTTCAAACCATGTAGTTCCGTATTTACGCTTATTGAAGATGAGTTGATAATAGGCGAAATGTGGACTGACCTTGTAGCAGCGTCTCATTCATCAGAAGAAAATGAAAATTAAACAGTAATAGAAAATTTATACAATAATTAGAGTCTGTATAAGCCTTTATTTCTCTTGGTGCTAGTCTATCCAAATCGCATGGCACCACTGCCTCTACTCTGACCAAGAATCTACTGTTGTTACTGATAGGGTGTGATGTTTCTTATGTTAAAGAAATCGTCAATATTCATTATTGAAAAGAACTCAATGAAGCGTGTCAATCTATTCAAAAAAAGAAATCGATTAAACTAGATCAATAAAAAAAACAACTTGATTTTTGTTTTATACTTTTTCACCTCGAAATTCGATAGCAATAGGTTTGAATAATGAATATAGATAATGAGTTGGAATGGTAAAATTTATCGTATTTTGACACTTACAAAGAGGCCGATGTCTGAGACAATTAAACTTTTATTAGAGATTTTTTATTAATATCAACCAATTGGCTGCTCATATATACTGATAAATATTTTTTTATACTGTTCTAAACAAAAGAAAACTTCCGATTTAAAAAATTAAATATATAAAGAAAAGACATCTGCTAATTAAATTTAAATGAACGACAATCGATTATTCAGATTTTGTTTCAGTACGGGATAGATCGCGTTTATTAAATATCAATTGGTCACTAATTGCTATGAAAGAAAAATATAAGAAAAAAAAAATAAATACTATGGTAAATATCGCGTGTTGGTGTCTTTGATTTTTGACTTCTGCTGTGGATATGTGAACAAATACACATACCGTACGTTTGTTTACACTATCTTCAGTATACTGTGACACTTATAAGAATCGTCGGTAGTGCTTACAATTTTTGCTTAATAAAATTAATAAATTTGCAATATATAAAATGAATATCTTTTTATATGTGACTATTTTTCAATCTAAAAATCCGTCTAGCTATAGACTTGAAGTCAACATGATTGATTTTATATCGATTTACTTATTTTGTTTTCAATTATTGCTAAATCATTTATTTTTACTGATAGATTCTTTTTTTTTTATTTATTTAGACTTTAAACTGAGATAAATATTAAATAAAAGAACTAGCAAGTAGCAAAGAAAAATATGGTGCGATGTGATTTTTTTTGTCTGCTCGACGTGTTATCTATATTTGTTCCTTTTTTTTTGCATTTTTTATTTTTCGCCAATAAATGCATCATCAGTGCTTACGAATCGGGGCTTCGAATGTAATAGAAATAGGTGAAAAAGACGTCATACGAGATCGATCGATTTTTTTTCTTTCTATTGTATAAGAAAAAGTCGTTCGGTATAAAGTTTTTTCAAGGCTGACATCGACTTTCATGATTTTTTGATTGCGTCATCTTCGTTTCTCTCGAGTTGTATTTCACATTTTTATTTTTACACTATTTACTTAATCTTATTGGTGTTTTCAAAACCAAAAAACTGTGGTTATCATTGATATTCATTTGAATTTATTCAACACCGTGATTTTTCTAGAAAGATTTCTATGTCATGTCTTTCTGTATGAAGACAGAATAACAATACGACTCTCGTGCATTTCAACCAAGTTCTGCAGATTTTTATGCAGTTTCGTAAATTTTGAAATTGTTAAGATTTCATAGAATTGATCAAGATTTGCAGTGTACTCAATAGTTGTTCTCTAAACTAAAGCTCATATAGAATTATATTGAACATCAATTTGCAATTGGGATCATAAAGATTCCTGATAAAAATTGCATTTCATACAAATAGGTAACAGTTATGGTAGATGGGCATTCAAATATTTAAGCGAGCTTGAAACATTCAGCATTGCATAAAATCAATATTATTCTTCATTATTTCATCCTGATAAAAATTTTAAAAGCTTCTATACTAAAAATATCATAAGAAATGAAGTTTTTTCTATGGCTGAAAGAGATCAACAATAATGGCACGACAATTTCTGTCAGCTACGGTATCTTGATTCTATATTTTATTAGATGGAACCTGTATTTTTCATGATGACAAAATAAGAAGGATGAAATTGCCCGATTATTGCCCGTAAAATTCTATGATTAGAATTTCTAGAAAGGTCTTTTTTTTCTGACACTCCAGAATATTTTCAATACAGCATCTAAAGATATTAAACAAATATTTGTATAAACTTCAATGAATAATTTGTAGACGAGAAAAAAAAATTGTTTTCATTCGTTCTTACATGAAGAAAGAAAAAAAAAAGAGCTATGGAATTGCATCATATTCAATGATTACTTACTTAAAGAGGAAAGAAAAAGGTATATGGTGAAAGTAAGATTCGAACACTAAAATGAATGTGTTCACATTATTATTAAAGTAGCAAAAACTCAACTAAATGAATCTAAGTTATAAAGTACAATAACAAAAATAGTATTATGTATTTTATACTCACATTTATTTAGTTGAGTTCTTGCTTGCAATCAGTTTTTTTAACATAAAAGAAAAGCTGAACGTCAAAAGAGAACTAAATCATTACATGTCAATTTTATACTTTTTATTAGATGAACTTTGTTTATTGATGAAACTACTACATTATTCGAACTTTCTGGATCATTGTGTAATATTATCAGAAATGCGTAGGCTTGAGAAAGATGAATATCAAAACTACTTTTTTCTCTCACTCCCTCTGGGGCGCTTATCTATTTCTTTTATTCACTCTCTTTTTCTCGAAACGAATGTCTCTAACAGGGCTATAGTCCTTTATTCTCTTTGATTTTGTCCAGGTGCAATTCTTCACATAATAATTTTTGCCTATGCAAATATCGGCAGATAGTTCTCTCTCTTTCTTATCTAAAATTGTATATATAGACGAGAATTAAACGATGAAATTCATAGTACTCATTTCTTTCTTATTATATCAGTCTATTAACAAATCGGCTGAGAAGAAGTTTGACAAGAACTCACTGTACTTGATGGTGGAAGCTTATACGGAATCCTTTTACAACATTACCCAATCGACAATCGGTGGTCCTTCATATCGTAATTATAAACGACAACGTATTAAATTCAATATTTCAATTTATAATCATCAACTACGGTTAAATAATTAAAATTAAAACAATGAAGATTGACATAACTCAACAAACACAACATATCCTTAATCTTATCGCAAAACGCGATTTAAATGATGATGGTAAGTTAGAATTTTTTTTAATTTATCTTTTGCTAATAATATTCAATTCATTATTTTATATAGAAAAGAAACAATTAATCGATGAAACTGTGGAGAATTTTAATTCATACATTAATCCAGGTTTCTTACAATATCGTAAATCATTTTCACCTGACTATGTAGCTGGTAAGTTTATTATTGAGGAAAAAAAGAAACAAACAAATCATTTTGTTTTTGTTTTTTATTTAGTTGAATGGGCTGATAGTGGTTCAACATTTACATGTGTTAAAGGTATTGAATATATTGATTGTTTAGGTGGATATGGAATTTACAAGTAAGAAATTAAATAAAAATTTAATTTTAATCTGTTTTGTCTGGTAACATTTTAGTGTTGGTCATCGTCATCCAAAAGTTTTAAAAGCAGT